ATGGAAATAAGAATCACATCTATCTATCTATCTATCTATCTATCTATCTGTTTGTTCGTATCTATCTATCTTTTTTACTATCAATCTTTGCTTACAACTCTCTATCTGTATACATAACTATATTTGCTGACATCTATCTATCTATCTATCTATCTCAGCCTGTTCATTCTTTCTTTCTATCAGTTTGTTCATATCTATCTATCTATCTATCTATCTATCTATCTATCTATCTATCTATCAGTTTGTTCGTATCTATCTATCTTTTTTAATATCAATCTTTGCTTACACCTATCTGTACTCATAACTATATTTGCTGACATCTATCTATCTATCTATCTCAGCCTGTTCTTTCTTTCTTTCTTTCTTTCTTTTTTTCAGTTTGTTCATATCTATCTATCTATCTATCTATCTATCTATCTATCTATCTATCAGTTTGTTCGTATCTATCTATCTTTTTTAATATCAATCTTTGCTTACACCTGTCTATCTGTAATCATAACTATATTTGCTGACATCTATCTATCAGTTTGTTCGTATCTATCTATCTTTTTTAATATCAATCTTTGCTTACACCTATCTATCTGTACTCATAACTATATTTGCTGACATCTATCTATCTATCTATCTATCTATCTATCTATCTATCTATCTATCTCAGCCTGTTCTTTCTTTCTTTCTTTCATTCTTTTTTCAGTTTGTTCATATCTATCTATCTATCTATCTATCTATCTATCTATCTATGCCTTTTCCTCTCGGTGTGTCTCCGTTTGGGGATAATGATTAGCGAGCCTCTTTTCTTTGACCATTAGTACTGTGTAGCGCGCTCGAACCTCTCTGGTTGGTATACCCCTTATCAGATACTTAGTCTGGTAGGCTTTGGATATTTGTTAGCGTCTCCACGTTTCTTTCTTTCTTCACTAGTTTTTCCTCTATTACTTTTTATGTTATTCGCTTCTTTCTTTGCGAAAATGGAAGAAATTTAAAGTCTTTCCTTCTTTTTTTTCTAGCCTGTTTACTTTCTGTCACATTTTTATTTTAATTTTTCTTTTTTGTTTGTTTGTTTCTTTTTCTTCCTGATTTCTTTCTTTCATTTCATTTCTTCACCATTAGTTCTGACGTGCTTTGGTCCTGTCCGCCATCGAGTGGGTCGATGTTAAAGAAAATTTGAATAGAGCCATTAAAGAAATATTTTGTGTGATAATCCTTGGCGTAGTTGCTTAGTGCTTGACGGGTCCAAATTGCACTTCCTCTGTCCAAAGCGGCACAGGTTTAAATCCTGCCAGAGAGCCTAAATTTTTCTTTAATAGGATTTCTAAAGGCAAGATTTTGGCAGCATTCACCAACTTAAACAGGGAGTACAATTAGAAGTGTTGCAGAAGATTGTCTAGAGGATGCTGTTGAAGCCAATTGCGATTCTTTGAAAAAATTATTATTTCAAGATAATATTCCAAGATATTTTTGTGTAATGTTGGTAAATATATCTGTTAAAATGACATGACAGTGATATTTTCATTTTTCGTAATTTAGACGACGCTGTATCCATCGAACATAATATATATATATATATATATATATATATATATATATATATATATATATATGTGTGTGTGTGTGTGTGTGTGTGGATATAATATTAGTGCAGACCCTCCGTCTATTTATTAAACACTATATTTATTTTCGCCTATCGGTATGCTTTCCTCTAGGGGAAAACGCCATTAGTTCTGATGTGTTCTAGTCCTGTCCGCCATGGAGTGGGTCGATGTTAAAGAAAATTTGAATAGAACCTTTAAACACAGATTTAATTTTTTTCTGACTCTCGAAATAGACATATATGCTCAGCTTCGTATTCCTAACATAAACCAAGCAATTTGTAAAGAAAGAGGATGATTTTTTTAAAATTATTAATTCGGCAAATTTTATAACTTAAACTTTATTTTGTTTAGTGGACACTCCTATTTGAGAAGACGTCCCGTTTATTTATCAAACAGTATATTTAGTTATTTTCATTTACCGGACTGAATGTTCGGGAAATCTTATTATAGAAAAATATACGGTCTCCGTATCTAATCACTTTTTACGAATAATCATGCCAGTTGTCAAAAATAAATGAATATACTGTTTGCTAAATTAACAGCGCTTCTAGTCAAATACGAGTATCCACTAAAAATAAAGTTTAAGCATTATACTATAGATGTATATAAATAAATAAAAAAAACTGTATTGACATAGATATTATGATATCAAAACGTGTCTATGTAAATCGATGACACAAAGACTACAATGAATAATAAAATTGTTTAAAGAGTATTACTTAGAGCGGCAAAAGACAGAAAGGTGTGGAGAGCCACGCATGCTCTCTGTTGAAACTTGAATAAAGCATGGAATAATAATAATACAACACAAAATGTACTTAAACGAAATGTATTGAAACAAGAACGTGTACACAATATTTACAGATAGTTTGGTATATTCTTGGGAAGACCGTTCCTGTAGAATGGTTTGACTTAGTCGCAATCGGGCAGAGTCTCTGGATTGCATCTCTTCTTCCTCCCCCGTCTTCCCGGTACCAACCATATTTATATGGTCGATACTCCACTATGTAAATTAGGTGGATCCTACCACAACACTATCAAAACGTGCTTATTAGCCTCTTACGTTAATCTGACTCCCTTTCTTTTTATACTGTTGTTCTCTCAATATAAAACTCAGGACGTACTCAAATTTTATGAGGATCTGCAGAAAAGGTAATAGCTGAGCCGCGAATTGAAGTGATTAATATTGTAATGGTTTCGGAAGCAAAATCTCGGGAGTCTGCTTCACAAAGTAACTCTTCTTTTTCTGAATCTATCTCAGTGGAACTTCCTTCAGACCATTAGAAAACGAAGGAGATGAACAGAATTTGTCCCCGTGTATATAGTATGGGAGGTCTTGGTGGTAAAAACGTCTGAACTGGTAGAACTATGTAATGTACCTATTTAACACGTGGAAATAGCGATAGAATAGTATATATAGTGGAAAATAATAAAACACCGACAAGGCTGCATAAAAGCTTTTGAGCCCCTGTCAAACATGGCAAATGAGGACTGACATTTCCAGTGTGATGTGGCAGAGGGACTTCATTTTTTGTCTGATCTGGCCCTTGCAAATGCAGAGTATGGCAGATCAAGTATTCTGGAAAAGTACAAAGAACTGACAACGTTCTCGGGCAAATTTAATGATGGATCGTGTCCACGAGTCCCACTCGAGGCCAGAGATGAGACGATCAAGGCAAGGAGTCTCATTTAGCGCACAGCTCTTTATCATGTACTGTAAGCTTCGGATGGTATAATGGGCTTACGGATATAGCAGGTTGAAAAATATATTCTCGTACTATCACCGAAGTTAAGCATCATCGATTCTGGTCATCACCTAGGTGGGTGACCCTCTGAGAAAAATAGGAGATGTATGTGTTGTAGAGTAGTTTCACAGTGGAGGCTTGTATTTCACTAAGTCGGTCCTAAAATAGGTTCGACGTACAAAACGTTAGGAACTTGATATAATAGTTAATGACGCAGCAATCTAGTTGTGGTGGTTGATACTTTAAAATCCGACTAACGGTCGTCCGACATCGACTGACTGACCAACTCGCTGAGCGACAGCGACTGCTACTACTCCTACTTATTATAGGTGGGGGGTCTATTAACTATAGAATAGGTGTGTTTCAGTGTAACAGTAAGCTTGGAAGTACGGATGGTATAATGGGCTTATGGTCATAGCAGGTTGAAATACCTATTCTCACACAATCACCGAATATAAGCAACGCCGATCCTGGTCAGTCCCTAGATGGATGACCGCTTGGGATTACGAGGTACTGTAATCTTCGATGTGGTATAACGGGCGTACGGACATAGCAGATTGAAATACTTGTTCTTGTACGATCAGCGATGTTAAGCAACGTCGATCCTGGTCAGTACTTAGGTGGGTGACTGCTTGGGATTATCAGTTACTGTAAGCTTGGCTGTATAGATGGTATAATGGACATACGGCCATATCTCGTTGAAACACAGGTTCTCGTACGACCAGCGAAATTAAGCAACGTCGATCCTGATCTGTATCTAGTTGGGTGACCACTTTGGAATACCAGGCGCTTGATGGGCACATGGTATAATGGCTTTACGGCCATATCTTGTTGAAACACCGATTCTCGTATGATTTGCGAAGTTAAGCAACGTGGATCCTGGTCAGTACCTAGGTGGGTGACCGCTTGGGAATATCAGCTGATGTAGAACTTAGATGCGTGGGTGGTATATTGGGCTTACGCCAATATCACTTTGAAACACTCGTTCTCGTACGATTAGCAAAGTTAAGCAACTTCAAGCCTGGTCAGAACATAGAGGGGTGACCGCTTGGGAATAACATGTGCTGTAAAACCTGTATCTTCAAGTCGTGTAATAGATAACGGCTCGAAATAGAAAATTGGAGAGGGAGTTCCAGTTACAGTCGAGGTTCATCATCATCATCATCATCATCATCATCATCTACCCCCTTTACTTCTCTAATCGTAGGGCGGATCCGAAAGCAGAAGCCACATTAACTCTTTTCCACACACGGTCTATCAAATTCTGGTACATTCATACCTGTCCATTGTTTAACATTATATTACCAGTTTTTGTGTTGTCGTTCTCCTTTACCTCCACCTTTAACGGTGCCTTGCATGATGGTCTTGCACAGGCTGCCGTGCTTTGTAATGTGTACATACCACGTCATTTTTCTCCGTTCGACATTGAAGAGAAGAGGTTTCTGGTGTCCCACGAAACTTTGAACCCTTTTCCACAGAAACTCATTGTTTTTTTTTTTTGGTCCCAATAGAAAATTCTAAGGAGTTTTCTCATGCATTTGTTGTCAAATGATATATTCACTTACTCGTAAATACCATTGAGAAGGGTATAAATTCACCTCTTCTTCTCCAGATTTGGGTTAATTAGGAGAACTTGTATCAATCAAAGCCATTATTATCTCCAAAGAATTCTTGCAATCTTAAAATATTTCTTGGGTTTAAATAACCTGCACAGGTTTGATAAGGCGTAAACAAACAAGCGATTGGTCAAGATAAAACACTTATTTCAATATTACGATTCTAAGCATTTATTATGTTGTGGATTCGAGATGAAATTCAGTCTCCAATGAATGACAAACGCAAGAATTAAAGATAAGAAATTAAATGTATTTACAGAATAATACAAAGGGTAATTCTGTTAGTAAATCCAGGAACGCGGTTAGTTGTCATAATAATATGTATATATACAGTCTCGAAGTTGGACTTCCTTAGAGTCTACGTGCTTGTAACTGACTTCTACAAGCGGTTACCTCACACTATTACTCTACCTCCAACTCAATCACAATCCCTGCTCACTCTCCCAATCTCTCTATCTCCGTATATTCTGACTGACTGTGGGTATTTAACGGCAGCAGTCCCAGTAACACTCTGGTCGAGTCCACTTATATGAAAAAGGCGAGGACCCCATAACATATTATTATTATTATTACTACTACTACTACTACTGCTGCTACTACTACTACTACTACTACTACAGTAGAATACCTGACAACCGGACTAAGAAGACCTTCCCGATATGAGGAATTGGTTACAAATTCCTGATATGAAGGGTTATATTTAGATTAAAATAAAAGAACTGAAATCAGGTTTAAACTTTATTTTTATTATTTCCTTCGATTTCTGTTGTTTACACATTTCCTTCCGAGTTTCACCCAGAGACCTAAGCTTCATCTATGGCTTCATTACATTTACATATGGCTTCATTACATTTTTCAATCATAACTTTTATAAAAAAATAAAAAAAACGAAACAAAACAAACTAATCACAGACGTTTTATATACATAAAGCTCTTCGTAATGTGTGAACTGTACTTGAGAGTATAATTTTTTGTATTTTTGAGGCATTATTATTATTATTATTATTATTATTATTATTATTGTTATGGGGTTCACCCCTTTTTCATACAAGTGGACTCGACAAGTGTGTACTTATACTGATGCCAGTGAATACCCGGTAGACAGAGATACACTGATAGAGCGATAAAGTTAACAATGCGAGATTAAGAGTGTGAGGTAACCGCTTTGTAGGAGTCACAGTTGTGAGCACGTAGACTCAGAAGAAGTCCTACTTCGATACTGAATTTCCCAGACTGTATATATATTATTATTGCTACTAACCGCATTTCTGGATCTACTAACCGTATTAACAATTGTATTATTACGTCAATACATTTATTTGCTATATTTCATTCCTGCGTTTGTCATTCATTTGAGACAGGATTTCATCCCGGAATCCACAGCAAATTGGAGACGAAGATTCGAACTCACACAGAAAGAAAAAACAACAAAACAATTTCCCCTCATCGTCGACAACGAATTGGCGACGAGTGATTCAAACTCACACGAGAAGAAGAAACAGAAAAATCCTCCCCTCTTCCACAACAAATTGACGACGAGCGATTTGAACTCACACAGGAAGAACAAACAACAAAAAAATTTTCCCTCGTCGTCCACAACAAATTAGCGACAAAGAGTTACGAGTTACGTCAATGCATTTATTTGCTATATTTCATTCCTGCGTTTGTCATTCATTTTGAGAGCGGATTTCTTCCAAGAATCTACAACAATTATTATTATTATTATTATTATTATTATTATTTAATTTCTGGTGTGTACTCAATTCTTTTCGGGTCCCATCCAAAGACCTAAGGCCAGAAATGGCAACACGATATTCTCCACTGAGCAATTAAAAAAAATCACACATATTTTAGATAGATAAAGCCCTTCATAACGTGTGGGCTGTACTTGTGAGAACAATTTATGTATTTCTTTAAGGCATGGGCTGCCAGCAATCCCTTCACTGACTCTATTAAAACTTTTTCCCATTAATTCGATGGCTCCAACTACAACTGAAATTGTTGATGTTCTCATGTGCCACAATTATGAGATTTCGATTTCAAGATACATTGCAGTCTTCAGGAACTAGCATTTCAATAAGGAGACACTTGTTTTGTTTGCGGTCTCAAATAACGATGTCTGAAGTCCCCTAAAATTGTTACAGGCCCTATCTTCTGTAACCGGGTCTGGGTTGTGTTCATACAAATTTCTTGTAGTTTCCTTTCTGTCGAAGTTGCAGATATTCCAGTGCAGATATTGCTTCAATCTATCATGCCATGTTTTATATTCAGTGGGTGCCAATACCGTGCAACCTGATACAAGATGGTTAATTGTTTCTGGATATTATTATTATTATTATTATTATTATTTTTATTTTCTTTAATTTCTGGCGTTTACACATTTCTTTCCGGGTCCCGCCCAGGGACCTAAGGTTAGAAATGGCGTCATGACACTTTCCACTGACAAAAAAACAAAAAAACAAAAAAAGAATTAAATTACATAGATAAAGCCCTTCGTAAGGTGTGGGCTGTACTTGTCAGAACAATTTTTTGTATCTCCTTGAGGCATGGACTTCCAGGAATCCCTTCAATTAGTCTACTGCAATCTTTTCCAACCAATCCTAGGACTCCAACTACAACAGGGATTGTTGATGTTCCCATATGCCACATTTTCGAGATTTCTATTTCAAGGTCCTTGTACTTTGACAACTTTTTGAATATCTTCAAAGATACATTGCAGTCAGCAGGGACTGCCATATCAATAAGGAGGCACCATTTTTGCTTGTGGTCTTTAATAACAATATCTGGCCGGTTGGCCTTGATTGTTCTGTCCGTGTGTATTGTGTAGTCCCATAGAATTGTAACAGGTCCTATCTCCGTAACCGGGTCTGGGTGGTGTTCATACCAGTTTCTTTCAGTTTCCTTCCAATAGAAATTACAGATTTTTTATTATTATTATTATTATTATTATTATTATTATTATTATTATTATTATTCAGTGGGAAATTGTTAAAATACGGATGAAATTTACTTTTGTACATTTTTTAAATAATAGTCGAAATTCCTTTTTACTAAAAGTTGTAAGTCAGACTAATTTTTGGGGAAGCATAAATGCAAGTATAGAATAGATTTGGGTTGAATATGCATACAGGTTTAGTTAAAGAGTTAGTATTGTTATGGGATTAGTATATAAAACATATAAAACATTTGGATTAAACTATACAAGAAAGACACCAGCTTATCGTGTTAGGAATCCGGGGGAATTAACTAAAATCCAAACAGGATGAAATAAAAATCAACAGTACACTATTTACATTATTCGGACTATTGTCCTCATCTTTGTCGCAATATTTATTACAACGTTTCGGCCGTAGTACGCTCCGGTCTTCTTCAGGTTGTTGGAATGTCGAACTGAAGACTTTATTTCGATCACTGGGGTAGAGTGTTCTAGTTCCACATGCCATGTCTAATGGATGTCAGTTATCAGTTATCTCCTGCCTAATTCTCTCTCCAAGTTCTCCACCACCGTAACCAGGTATTGAACTCACACTCTTTGGGTCCTGTCACTGGATCTAACTAACGCCACTGTGCTATGTGTCCTTGAGGATAAAGGATGCAAGAGGTAAGAAAAAAAGAACAAGCAAAAGGATGATGAAAAAGTAAGAAAGAACAAAGGCATATAAAAGAAAGAAAGAAAAATTTAAAAAGAATGAAAGAAGAAGAAAAGAAGAAAGAAAAAAAAGAAAGAAAGAATATTGTTGCCATATTTGGTCAGTTGCTCCTTCTATTCATCTCAAGGTTCCTGGCAAAACCCAGTGAAGGATCTGCAATGTAATCGATCCTGACTTGGCACCATGATTTCCATCACTATCTCATCACCTGGCATCTCACTGTCTTTTCTACAAATATTTTCATGGCTACTGCTCCAATAAGCTTTTTGTCTGGTGCCCAGAATATGTGAGTTGAAGTGTGCTACTAGATTGGCATCTAGGTCACACTTTTTTACAACTGAAATCACTTCTACTCCAACAGTCTCACTTTCCACGCGTGGAACTCACTTACTTTCGCTTGCTTTCCTGACAACTATAATGTTCAAAATTCAATCACCATCTTCTATCTTCTTGAAGCCCATTCATCCTTTCCTTGTTTCCCCGCTATACCCAGTCTTTTCTCTCACCTTCATTTTCTATAACCCCCTGCATACTACGGGAATTCCTACCTTGATTGAGGTGACATGATTTAAAAAAAATAACAACAAAGGATACGTTTTCATAGGAAGAACAGAAAGAGAAAAAAAAAATTAATGTAAGTAGAATAAAATAAAAAAAAAAG